CAAACAACTCAACGGCACATAACAACAACAACATATTTTAAAATAAGCAAATATCTTTTATACGAGATTGAACCAATAGCTATGTAGAAATACCACTTTTCCTCTCTCAGGGAGGAGAGATAGGGAATGGCAAAGGACACACTGACAAAGGAGATTAATCAGAACTGGCTTCAACAAGCACTGTGGCAATTGGACAGTTAAAACAGACATTCGCGGGGGGGCGGGGAGAAGAACGAACTGGGGAGGAGGGTAGAGATAACAGTGCAACAATGAATGAATGAAAACCCCAAATCTCTGTAAATGTTCACTAAAACTAATAAAATTTAATAATAATTAAAAAAAAGAAATACCACTTTTCACTTATCAGATTGGAAAAAATAATTCCCTCAAAATTGCTGGCACCTAGCCTAGACACAGGAGTGGCATCCACTTCTGAAATGGCTTGCCTCCAGAAACTGTATGAAGAGTGCTCAGGCCTTTCATTCATAGGGTGTCTATGAGTCATCTTTGACTTGACTGCACCTAACAATAGCAACGACAACATAGAGAGAGCTGCATAGGCCTAGTGCACAGAAAGTTATGCTACCAAGCCCGAGGTGGGTGATTTTAATCTGCGGCCCTCAGGCCAGGTTCAGATTGTTTTCCTGTCAAACATTCTTCTAGGTGGTATAGCACTGCTCTGTGCATTGCTGTACAGAGGTAACTTGTGGTTGCTGTGATGCTGACACTGTGACACTGATGTGCCGAACGTGGTAATAGTTACCCATGGTGGACAGTGTTTGGTGAAGCTTCCCAAGTAAAACAAGCCTGGAAGCAGGAGTGGCATCCACTTCTGAGCTGGCTTGCCTCTGGAAACTCTTAAGAACAGTGCTCAGTCGTTCATAGGATCGCTATGAGTCATTTATGACTTGACAGCACCGGACAACAACAACAACATGCTATTATGATTTTGAAGAAACAAGTACTCTCAAACCACTAATGATGGTAGTATAAATTTGAACTACCTCTTTAAAGGGCAATTAGTAATTTTGATTAAAATTACAAATTCACATACTCATTCATATATGATAATTGTACTTCTAGAAATTGATTCTACAGATGTGTAGCACAATTATTAAATTACTGTAAGAGCAAAAGAATAGAGGGAGAAACACCTATAAATGATGGAAGATGCTCTTTAAATTAATAATGATGCACAGATGTTGTTATATGCCATTGAGTTACTTGCAACTGATAGTGACCCTATGTATTATAGCTCTCAACCCTGCTCTATCCTGTTCCAACTTCATTTGTCTCTGACACATCTACCCCAGTTACCCAAATCACTGGATGAATCCATGTCATTGAGGGTCTTCCTCTCTTGCGCTGTGCCTCTACCCTCTCAAGCATGATGTCCCTCTCTAAGGACTGGTCACTCCTTGAAACATGCTCAAAGTATGTCATACGAAGAAGTGTCAGAATCCTTGCCTCCAAGGAGCATCCTAGTCTCATCCTTTCCAGGACGAACCTTGTTTGTTCTCCTAGCAGTCCATGGTATATTCAGTACTTTTCTCCAGATCCACAGCTCAAGGCATCGGTTCTCCTACTTTCATTCCTCATCATTGTCCACCTTTCTGATAAATAACAGATAATTGGATCAGGCACACCTTAGTCTCCAGACTGACTTCATTGCTCTTCAGTACTTTGGAGAGGTCTTGACAGCAGATTTCCCCAATGCAATTTGTCTTTTATTTTCCTGGTTTCTGGTGCCAAGAGTGTTGGTTGTGGAGCCAAGCAAACTAAAGCTGTTAACAATCTCAATCTCTTCATTTTCTGTCATGATGCTACCAATCAGCCCAGTGGTAAGAATCTTTGTTTTTTTAATGTTGAACTTCAATCCATATTGAAAGCTGCAGTCCTTGACCTTCTGCAGCAAGTGCTACAGGTCCTCCTCAGTTTGAGCAAGCAGGGTTGTGTCATCTGCATAACACAGATTGTTGATGCTTTATCTTCTAAAGTTTATTTATTTTTATTATTTTGCAATACTTAAGGATGTTTTGGACAGAATATTAAAATGATCCAAAAAGCATTAAAAGAAGATGGAAGGATTATACAGAGTTACTGTACCAAAAGGAATTGGCTGATACAGAACAATTTCATGAAATAACATATGGACAAGAGCCAGTGGTGATGAAGGAAGAAGTTTAAGCTGAAAGCCTTGGCAAAAAAGCAAGTCCCCAGGAATTGATGGCATACCAGTTGATGTATTTCAACAAGTAGACGCTGCCCTGGATGGGCTCACCAAGTTGTGCCAAGAAATCTGGAGGACAACCACTTGGCCAACTGACTGGAAGAGATCCGTATTTATTCCCATTCCAAAGAAAGGTGACCCAACAGAGTGTAGGAATTATCAAACAATATAATTATTATCACATGCAAACAAGATTCTGCTGGAGATTATCCAAAAATGACTGGAACAACATATCAGCAGAGAACTGGCAGAAGCAGGCTGGGTTTAGAAGAGGTCGTGGTACTAGGGATATTATAGCTAATGTCCAATGGATCTTGGCTGAAAGCAGAGAGTATCCGAGAAATGTCTATCTGTGTTTTATTGCCTTGCTAAGGTGCTTGACTGTGTGGATCACAACAAACCATGACTGACCCTGAGAAGAAGGGAATCCCAGAACACTTGATTTTGCTTATGCGAAATCTGTACTTGGACCAGGAGGCAGATGTCAGAACAGAGCAAGTAAACACAGCATGGTTCAAAATCAGGAAAGGTATATGCCAGGGATGTGTCCTGTCTCTGTACCTTTTCAGTTTATAAGCAGAACAGATCATCTGGGAGTCTGGGCTCTATGAGGAGAAATGTGGCATCAGGATTGGAGGAAGACTTAATGATGCACAGATCTGATGGAATACAGTGAAGGTATTATAAAGATTGAGAGAGCTCTTTGTATATGGATTGTGGAAAGAATGCTAAGAATTATTAAAAGAGCAGGATTTAGCAAGTGATTCTAATATGCTACCATTTGTGCAAAAAGGTAGAAAAATTTATACATATATATTTGTATTGGCCTGTATACTTAACTTACCCAGGAGCCCAAGTAACATTGATAATTATAGAGAAACGACCTGTGAGACTGAGGAATAGAGATAAGAGGAAGGTATTTCACTATACTTTCTTACCTTTCAGTTTTTAGTTACTTCAGTTGTATTGCTGTTTGGAAAATTCCTTCTCATAAAAACTTCAGAAATAATACAAAACCTACATAAGCTGCTGTCTGAAGACGATAAAACTATCAAGTTACATATTTATTTTTATTCTTCCCTACCCTCCTAACTCCACAGCTTGTTCATAAGGAGAAGTAGTAATTTGTCCTTTCAAATACATATTTGCTTTTTCTTTCACCGAGCTGTGTATGTGTATACAGAAAATAATACTGCCAGTTCATCTATATACAGAAGTAATATTGATTAGTTTTAAGCAATACAACTGAAATACTTATCCTTGTAAAAATAACCTTAAATTAACAAACTGATGGATACTTTTTACTCCTGATTCTGGTGTTCCTATTTCCAAGTGACATGTTTTTCATGACTAAGAGTTTAAAGTCTGATATTTCAACTTGTAATGACATTTTCTTTCACTTCTCTTTTACAGTAATTTGAGATTTTTGATGATTGCTTTAGCATATGCCATACCACTCGGTGTATTTGCTGGCTGGTCTGGAGTTCTGGACTTAATTTTGACACCAGTGCATGTGAGCCAAGTAAGTTTTGTTATTTCTTTAAATATTGTATGTATTTTAGTTCATTTAAATTACAAATAATGGCTTTTTTTAGCTTCAAAGCAGAACCTAAAACCATAGTATTTTTTCCTTCAATTTGATAACAGCTTTGACTTTCGTGTTTCTTTAAGTATTATTAATGATTCTTAATAATGATGCTGATAAACAGCTTAAAAATAGGTTGGAAAATCTTACTTTTGTGGGCTCATCGTTGATCCTTGCTTTGTACTTTATAAACATGATTAAGATCTCATCATCAAAGATATGGTTATGCATAGGTTAGTTTTTCTCTCAGCCTTAGAGTAGAGTATGCTGTTGTTGTTGTTGTTGTTGTTATGTGCCGTCGAGTCACCTGCGACTCATAGCGACCCTATGTACAACAGCCCTAAACTCCGCTCTGTCCTGTGCCAATCGCACTGTCTCTGACACTCCCATCCCAATTATCCCAG